CCAAGCCTGGTTGCGTGAGAATGCTTCAGAACTGGGAGTTGGACATTGTGGACTTGACACAGTGGGAGCAAGAAGACGGTGAAGGTCAGCTGGAGCGGCAGAGCTCGGGGTAGCAGGGGGCCAAAAGGGCATAGATGGGGGGAGATAGGCAGGTGGGGGGAGCTGAAGTGTCCTTGCAGGCGGGTTGCCAAGTGCCCAAATTTTGAACATCTGATCACAGGAATGCTGCCACGGCCATAAGTTCAGAGACCGATTGTAAGTCCCTTCGTTCAGTGCTGCTGTAACTTCAGTCACTGAACAAAGTCGAGATCTACCTGTACCGCTAGCCTTAATGCTAACCTTCGTGCCATACTTAATCAAGCCTAACGTAATCAAGCCTAACTTCACCCTAATGTAAATATAAATATTTGCCCTAACCCTAACTTCAGAAACAATTCTTACTAACCCATTAGCCATAACAACTCATTCTATTTAACTGGAAACTCAACATCCCATTTGGCAAACTTTCATACATGATTACTTAGGCATTTATTTATTTACTTCTATTTATATGGCATTCGATACTAAAAAAGACTCTGAGCTGCTTAACAATGATTAAAATGATACAAAATTAAAAGGAAGAAAACAATAATCAACACCCACTCCCCCAGACAAAGCAACAATTGCCTACTGCACAGAGGGGACCTGCCATTCCATTCATCCTCAATGATTTTCTGGAACAGCCAGATCTTGGTGTCTTTCCTGAATGCTAGCAGGACTGATGCTGGCCTAACCTTGGGTGGAACACTCTTCCAAAGGAGAAGGGCAGCAATCGAAAAGGCTTTGTGCTTCCCTCAAGGATGGGACTCAAAGGGTGCCTTCCCTGCTAGATCTTGTTAGATGGGCTGGAGCCACCAGGACAAGAGGTTCTGCAGGTCATTAGGCCCTGAGCCATGTAGGGTTACAACTAGTGCCTTGAATTATAGAGTGACTGTATCCATACAGTATATAAGTGTATGGGACAAATGAAATTTCCCATAAAGATGTCCCATAGGCATCTTTAACTTCCAGAAAGATATACTGTATACTAGATTACTTTTCCAGTTGAAGCTCTGTAGAGTTTATAATTGATGGTTATTAAGCTGTTTGATATATGAACAGTTACCTTAAAATTCTCTTCTGTTAATCCCTCTTCAGTTTTAGCATCTCTTATCATTGCTGCCACATATCTCTTAACCAAATTCCTCATGACCTCCTGAAAGATAAGAACAAGGTTGTCAACCCTTTGTTGATTAGAGATATTTTGTTGAAAAGAGATATTTTGTTCTGAAAAGTCTAAGTGTTAGTGTTATGCAGCTGTGGCTTCTGGGGGGGAGGAAGCTAGTAAACTTCTGTGAACTGGTGAGCTGGTGCACTTCCTATATCAACTTCATCACAGATGATGAGGGAATTTCTGTTGTCTCCCTGCTGTCTTCCATGTCCTAAAGATTGGGACATATCTACTGAATTATGATAGGTAGAACAGACTGCAATATTTGTTATCATTTTCAGAAAATGCTCTTGTAGAAGAATAAAGACAAAGGACTCCCTAATCTGCCTTATCATAGTGAATAATAGATGAATAGCTCTGTCTCTCTTTATGAACTTCAGCTTTAGTCACAGACTTACGTTGTGTGCACAAATCAGTGATAAAATGCACTTGAGAATAGGAAGGATTTCTCAAGTCCTTTGTCATACTTTACACAATTATGAAGTTAAAATAAAGAGCACATCTCCTCGACTCTACCTGGTTGCTAGGCAATGCAAATGCAGAGCTGTTAAATTAGGACTGCATCTAGGGTAACCTCTGCTAGTCTAAACTGAAAATATTAATGAAAACTTAACCCACTGTGTGATATTTTGCCATTACTGTTTAAATACATCATAGCATTTATGTGAGATGGACTAAAGCCATCATCCCTGGGAAACTCAGGTTCAAATTTCTGTTCATCTATGAATTTAATTGGCTAATTTAACTCGTAGGACAAAAATACATCCTTTCTTTTTTTTCCTTGCCATGTAAGGAAAAATCATGGATAGTGGTTCTTACAGTCCAGTCCACTAATAGGTTTTGCTGAATTCAATAGCTCTTACTTTGAAGTCAATGTGTAGCTATAGCTGTAGTATAGAAGATGATACATTATTTGGACAATTAGCTACATTTCTTTTAGTTGTGAGGATTTTTTTTCACACTATTAAATTTGCAAGTTAAACAATGTAGTGCTATTGCCTATCCCTCCCAAAGTAGATTGTCCTTCTTCATATTTATTCATTTATTTATTCAATTTATATAGTCACCCTTCTCACATACATGACCCTGAGCAGCTTACACAATTAAAGAACAAAAAATCAATAAACAGTTACAAATGAGCAACTAAGATAGAAAACCATTAAAAGCCAATTAAAACACATGCTAAAAATTGATTTGTGCTCAAACCAATATAGGATATTGATATAGTACATGTAAATCCTACTTTGGCTAGACTGCTCATTCCACGCATGTGAACACTACATTCACACATGCTTAAAAAAATCTAAGAGATCTGAACGTGCTTTTTAAGGGTACATGTAAAAATAGGCTTAGAAAATGTTTTCATCAGTGGATGCCATTGATCACTTTTAAAGTAAAGAACATCTTAAAGATGTATCCAGTATTCAGTCAAATGAGAATTTGATTAGGGAACCTATCCCTAATGAGATTTGCCTCCAGACTGCAAATACAAGAACTGAATGAAAAGTAATGCCTCCAGTATTATACATCACCCACAGAAGGCAGTACTGACATGCTAGAAATTCTGATGTGTTCTTCAACACCTGTTCTTTTACTTCAGTTGATGGGAAGTTGCTGTGAGTAAAGGTTGTTTGCGATTGTTTTTGAAATGGAAGCCTGCAGTGAGTATTCATCAGTGTGCTTTAAGCAATACATTTTTGACTTCCAAAGGAGTCCCTCCAATTGAAATTTACCACCAAATGCAGATTGTTTATGGTGGTGAATATGTTGACATTAGTACTGTGGATTGCTAGGCCTAAAATGTAAAGCTGGTGAACTGGAAAGGGCTGATTCATTGATCAAGAACAAAGCGGACAATTTCTGATAGTGACCAAGTTTCACATGAGAAAGGTTGTGAACTGATTAGGGACAATTGTTGAATTACTCAGAGAGAAATTACTGTAAAGCGTTCATTTCACTGGAACCTGTAGGACACATTACTGGTGTTCTTCAATCTTGGAAGGTTTCTCCAATATGAGTTCCTTGTATGCTGGCAATTAAAACTTTAAGATTTGAAATTTGCCAGCAGTTGTAGTGAATGAAGGTAAGGAATTTCTTCACAACATTGTGTTGTGAAATCACAACATTTCCTTGAGCCTGGTACCACTATCAACTCAGAGCAACATTGCAACACTTTGAAACAAAGATTAAGCAGGGCTTGGAAGCACAAGGAGGAAATTTTACTGTAATATAACAGTGTTGGGCCTTACACCTCATGAGCCATCCAAGAGACAACTGCAAAGATAGATCTCATTGTCTTATCCCATCTGCCATACGGTCCAGACTTGATGCCATGTGACTTCCATCTTTTCTCAAAATTTATGAGCATCTGTTTGACTCGTGAAGGGGTGGGAAGGATTGTCAGGACCTCAGTAAGGGACAAAGTGAGGAGTTCTTTCATGATGACTTTAAGAAGCTTGTCCATTGTTAGCAGAAGTGTGTAGTGAATAGTGGTGATTATATGGGGGGGGGGAAATACAAGTAACAAAAATGCTCATTTCAAGGATTTTTTCCTGTTTCATTTATTAAATAACTACAGGTAGTCCTTGCTTAATGACCACAATAGGGACCAGAAAATTAGTCATTAAGTTGGACGGTCACTGAGCGAGTCACCACGTGACTGGACCCGATTTTACAACCATTTTTATGAGCCATTAAGCAAATCACTGCAGTAGTCAAGTGAATCATGTGGTCATTAAGCAAATCCTGCTTCCCCAATAGATATTTTTGCCAGAATTTGCTGAACAACCATGTGATTCACTTAATGACCATTGTAAAAAGGTTGCAAATCACAATCATGTGACTGCAGGAGGCAGTGCAATGGTTTGCGATGGTCATAAGTGCGAGTACAGGTCATAAAACTTTTTTCCAAGGCCTTCATAACTTTGAACCATCGTTAAATGAATGGACATTAAGTGAGGACTACCTGTATATTTAAACTAAAGTAATGGAGGTGGAGGCATTTCATTCCTCATGTTTTGTCCTAAATTCCTTGTACAAGTATATGCCCATCCAAATGAAATAATTGTCCCAACTTCTAAACTATAGTGACTCATGATGGCAAATGCATCTTGACTCCAATGGTGACACTTATCAATTAAAGTAGTTCAAAACAAAATAAGAGATTTCTTACCTGATACTGATGATGCCTTCTCAAATTATCTGCTGCACGTCTCTGAAAATGAAGAACGAGTCATAAACTGCTACATATGAGCAGAGATAATCATCTATAGGGCCACAGATGTTTTCCCCAAAACTGAATTTGATCTATTGTAAAATTTTGATCAAAATATTCAATGAAGATGTGAATAACTTAATAAGACGCTAATATCAGTTGTACAGGGGGAACCATTATTAAGATCTTTCCTTGAAAAATCCACATGGTTTATGATAAATTTATAATACTGCAACTGTGATTATTCTGTCAAGTCTCCCTACTTATTTAAAATGAAGGCAAAGTAGTAGGATCTGTGAAAAGTTAGATGAAAAGCTAGGTGCTATCTAGTATAGGGGATTGGCAAGGCTTGTGTTGTATTGTATTTTTCTTTGCCAGAGCCTGGGATCTGCCATTTCCTTTTTCAGAGTCTTTTTTGCACATTGCCATTTGCCCATCATCTTGTTAAAAAGTACTAATGATGATGAGGAAAGCAAGCATCTCACTGAATTATGTCTTGATATGTATGTATATATAATATATGCAAATCAAGCATTCTGTTTTTATTGTAGTTTGAAAGGACATTCAGTGATATTATAGCATGGAATGGGTGGCTCGGGTCTAAACATTTTAAAATACACTGCATTATTTAGTCTTCCATGTTTGCAAATCTAAAAACACCAAGGACCAGTTTAGGATTTGGCATGAACACTAACAACACTTCAGACTGCAGAACAGATTAGATTAAATCAATTTGATGTTGAAATGGCTGTTTTGAGTGTCTCTATTCAAAATACACAGGTTTGGAATAAATAGTTTTAAGTAATATTGTTTTGAGTACTCTGTGCTGTTCTAGGTGATTTGTCCTTTTATGTTGGGTAATGTGACCTTGTGGGTGGAGTGAAGAAAATCAGCAGGACTTTAAGCAGCTCATTGAAGATCCATGCTGGATCTGATTGCTGTTGCTGAGAGAGGAGGATCAGGGCTGTTGCAAGGAATCTTAATTTCAATAGGCCCGCCCACTACTTTTGTTGGAGCTGGGGAGTTGGTTACCTGCTTTGAGGTAATGCCTTTTCCCTCACCATATCCTGTTTTAACTCCAGTGTGCTTTTTTGTGTTTTGGAGTTTACTCTTAGTTTTAAATAAATGTAGTGAGGTTTGGTGGTTAGGTGGAAAAAAGAGAGGTGGGAATTCCACCTCTACTTTTCAATTCAGTCCCTTCAAGATGTCACAGAGAAGAGGGCATCGATTTATTCTCCATAGCACCTGAGGGTTGGACAAGAAGGAATGGGTGGAAGCTCATCAGAGGGAGATCCAATCTGGAAATAAGGAAGAATTTCCTGACAGTGAGAACTATTAAGCAGTGGAACAGCTTGCCTCCCGGAGTTGTGGGCGCTCCATCACTGGAGGTTTTCAAGAAAAGATTGGACAACATTTGTCTGAGATGGTATGAGATCTCCTGCCTTGGGCATGGGGTTAGACTAGAAGACCTCCCTTCCAACCCTATGATTCTATGATTCTATAAGATTTAAAAGGAGATTCCACCCACCAAATCTTGCTTACTGCTTGCTTATTTAATTCTTCTGATGAACTTCTTCCAATGAAATGTTGCGTTATTACTGATAGCTACATACAAACACATTAAACAGAGGTTTGCTCTTGACCAGCTCTAAAGTAGTGATAGTCCAGAGGATCCAGCAGATCACCTATCATAATAAGTTTTTAAATTTGGTCTTCCCAGTTCCCCTTGAACTGTTCTTGTATATAAAATATCATTACACAGTCTTGCCTTTTTAACTGCTTGTTTTTTAAAAAGTCAAAAGATTTTGTTATTTTTGCCAAAATAGTCAAAGATAAATTGCTAAATCCTGAAATAAGAACAGTGTGTGTTATTCTCTGACAATGAAGCATTTAACCACTATACCATTCTGGTTTTCAGAGTCCCTAGTCTAGCTTTTGGGCATCTCATGGCCAAAGTATAGGTGAGGTGTGCTGAAAACACCAGTTGTTTTTTGTTGCTAAATTATTGGAATAATTGAGGTAATATACTTTTGGATGGGGAAGGGGACATTGACTTTCATTGCTCAGCTGCAAGAAAAGTTGATTTTGCTTCCAAACATGGTCTACGTAAATGATGTACCTACAAAGAGCCCAAAATTTTGTTTCTAAGATATACTGAATTGCACTACTCCTCCATAGTACGAGGGCGAATGCTTTGGCAAGTTTTCTCTTTATTTAATAGCTTTTGAGCTTCAAGGTCATGAGGTTTAAAAAGGGGAAAAGGCAATATTACTTATCAGGAATTAGCTGATCCAGTAAGTATTTCTCAGTGTTGCAATTGAAACAACTTTCTACCCCCCCACTTATGTTTCAATTGCCACATTGTCCAACCTGGCCAAGTTGGGGGAAGACAATATCCTGATTAAACCTAGAAGCCAAACAATTGGATCAGTGGCTCAGAAAATAGAGTTTGTGAGGAAATCCAAAATGCTGGAATAATTCTTGACCCTTGAGTTATATTTTAATTTAATTAGCTTCACTACCTTGAATAAAAAGGAACACTCTGAACATCTCAAACTCTAAATTATTTTATATTAAATTAATTAATTAATTTAGTTTTATATTTTGGATAGTGCCCCCTCCATGTGTGGGTCCAGGGCAGTTGCTTACTTCCCCTGCAAGGCTCCTATTTTAAATTCCTGTTATTTTTTATGGGAACCTTCTAAATATTTGGAGTTGTGTTCCGATAGAACACAGAAGAATTGAGTATTTTGAGTTTTGTTTCACTGTAATACGGTGAAAGGAATGTTTTGAATGGAGCTGTTTAGTTTTGAGCTCAAAATAAACACTTCTATTTTGTTTACATTCTGAGACATTCCTGATATATTCCTTCACCAAAGTAGTGAAGGGTGACTATTTCAAATAGTCAGGAAGAGAGAGAAGGGAGATTGAAAATGGTAGTACAGCTGGCTCAAGAGACTCTTTGGGCATTGTTAAAAACCAAAAATTTACACTCTTCTAGACTTTGTACAAGGATGAGGAAGGAAATAGCTAAATTTGCTTACCCCAATAGTTCCAAAGCTTTCAGGTTTTTTTTTAACATTTTTCCTGCATAGTTGTCTCCATAGCCATCTGATTAGATACCACAGAGACTTTGGACTTGGTATGACATTGAAAGGCGTGGGCAAAGTCCCCCCTTCTTCAAAGTAACTCATCCATAGCTTTGTACGAGCAAATTTCCATTCAATATCTGCATGATCCTGAACATATAAAACACATGAAAACACATTTTTATTTCATACCAGATAGGTTTGTCAAATCATGATTTTTCTAGGTTTAGAAAGATGATATACTTAATCAGAAATATTTATGACTTATATCTACTATTATGCTTTCCCCTTGGATTTCGATTCTTCTGGTGTTTTCTGTTTGATTTATTGGGTTAACTTTCATCCACAGTTGTGTGAAAAAGAAAGTACGTCCTCTTTGAGTTCTATGGTTTTAT